CAAAACATTTCAGGTGCACATTTGTGTAAGTAAAAAGAGTCATGTCTTTTTCATTTTGGAATGATAAAACTTGCTTTAAGTGCCTTTAATGCAATACTATATATTACATTTACATTATTTAAAAGTATTTGGCCACTGAATGCCATGAAAGAAAGATAAGAATAAAGCATTCCTGAGAGCTGGATAATAAGTCATTCAAATGAAATAAACTAAATTATTAGGGCAAAGTTTTGTTGTTAATATTATTTAAAAGTTCATATATTGGCTATAAAAATACATGTACAATACTTTTCATACGTTTACAATAGTTTCATGTGATAAACTACATTTATAATTATTTACATAATTATTTATTTATAATTAACAGTTTTTATTAGTTCACGTGTTGAGCGCATTTCAACATTTTGCACACACACTGCTCTACTGCTTTTGTATTTACGGAAGCTTAGTATGGGAGCACCAATCGTTGGTTTCTCCTTTGAATTCATTGCTTCTGTTAGAATTATTCTCCTATGTATTTGGAGTAAAGTGTCTTCTTACGGAATAAATGGAATTGTAGTCAAATGTTATGGACGCACATGGCTCTCCTTACATGGACTAACTCATTAACGAGATAACGATCACCTCATTCTGCTGCATTAGCTGCACCATTGAGTCCCCCACAAACAGAACATCAGGCTCGGCATCCTTGCACTCCTGCACAAACCGGTTATGCTGCAAAATATAGGACAAATCCAAGCATGTTACACTCTAATCCTTAATCAGAGCCAGGTGTTATAAAATAGGAAAATATTTGCACAACTCTGAGCTGTCTGAAGCACATGCTTATACAGTCTTCCTCAATGGAGCCCACCTGTGACATCCAGCGTCCGTCTCCCTGCACGTCGATGACAGGCGCAGGTTCAGCAGCGGGATTCTCCTCAGCGCTCATTCTGAGTCTACAACACAAACACAATACTACTATTGAGCGGACGTATTGACGTAATGGAAATGAACAGCAATGGTTGGTTAACTCAGACTGTAGTGAGTGGAAATTTAGTAATTCAACTGTCAACAGCCAAATATAATTCATTGAAAGGGCGCACATATCATTCCGGATACATAAACGCTAGTACGCCGCATAAAGAGCGCCTGTGTTTTGCTTTTAGTATTGTGAGGATGAGGAGGAGGAGGCTGGTGATGATGGACCCCGGATGAAGCCAACACAGAGCAGAGGCTGTGCAGTAAAGATTAACGCTTCATAATGTTCTTTAATGACTGCTATTAGTATTCTCAGGGACGGTCACAGTACTGTTTATCTGATGGCATAACGAAGAAGAATGAATCAACAGCAGGGACAAAAGAAAACCACATTCCCGCACATCACGTCCATCTCTACGCACGTTTCCTTTTGACTAACCTGGCTACAGTGTTTGCAAATCCCGTCTGCAGTCAGTGACAGGGCAGGGCAGGGCTCCCTCAGTCACGTACAGCAGCACCACAGTCGACTGACTGTCCGGTGGAAGATGCAGATGAGTGTTTCTGCTGCCGCGCACCTCGACTTTGCTTTTTCCAGCTCTCCCTTAGAAAGCAATGCAACCTTAGCCGACTCGGGCTACACAGTAACAATAACGCTGGACGTTTCAATTATGAGGGTATATAGCGCGAGGTCTTTTCAAGGAATCACAGTAAATGTTTGGGTTATGTAAACCGAATAGCATCCAGCCAACCACCTCCCCACTTCCCTGCGCAACCGCCCTCGCACTTTCTGGAAGCCTCACTTCCGCCTCCAGCCATCGTCACGCCTCGTGAACGCAAAGCAGGCGAGATCTGTGATTGGAATAACTGTTATAATCGAAGCGGTATCACACGAGAGAGTGTGCTGCTTATATTTCATTCAGCTTGTTTAAAACAGTTCGATATACAAGAACTTAATAGTGCTAACCCTATTAAGCTGTATCATATTTGATATGTGGATTTCTAAGACCTTTTAATTATGAATATAATTAAAACGTACACAACTTGTACACAATACATGCCTGCAGTCTGACTGATCATTCAGTTCATACTTTTAGTAGCCCGAGTAGAAGTTCTTCTAGTCTCATTTAAAAAATGACCACCTTGAGGACATGGAACATGTATATTTTTGCTTTTATTATTTGTACAAAATAAACGTAGAAAAAAACATTAATATTGTTAATATTTCAACATTTACTGGACTGAAGCAACATATGGCTTACCTGATTATCCATACATAATTTATTTTAAAAAAAAGATAATGAAAAACAGACTGCAATAGAGCTTTGATAAAATTAAGCATTCATAAAATTAAGCATTTTTGTTATAACTGTTTGGATGTTCTTACAAAATTAGTACATCAATATGCACGAGAAAAGAACAGATCCATTAACAATATTTCTAGCTATGAGATGAAAAGGGTTATGTGCCTAAATGTGACCCTGGACCACAAAACCAGTCATAAGGGTCCATTTTTTAAAATTAAGATTCAATTAAGAGAACATCGCCTTTAAAGTTGTACAAATGAAGTTCTAGCAATGCATATTACTAATCAAAAATGTATTTTTTATATATTTATGGTAGGAACTTTACAAAATATCTCCATGGAACATGATCTTTACTTAATATCCCAATGGTTTAAATAAAAATCTATAGTTTTGGCCTATACAATGTATTGTTGGCTATTGCTACAAATATACTGTGGTACTTATGGTTTGTTTTGTGGTCCAGAGTCACCAATTTGTTTTTTTTGTTTTTTTTTTAATTGCTTCAAACGAGATTAACAAAAGATTTTAACATATAAATACAACACAACCTATTCACATTATTACAATCATACAACATACAGGAACAAACAAAAGAAGAAGAAAAATCAAACAGATATTTCTTCCTTTTCCATAGAGACACATTTAGCATACAATTGAGTTGAAAAGCATAGCGGGAACATTATTTTTCAAAGAATTTCTCCATAAAATTGAACAAAATTTCATTATTTTTGTTATTAATTAACACTAAGGACTTTTTTAACAACTCCATTTATTTTAAGAATACTTCACATTTAGGTACAATTCGCTAGTTTTTGTTTATGAATGTAATATTTACCATGCAAAATGTAAAAGTTTACAACATATTTAAACATTTTGCTTTTGTGTGTGTAAGAACATTTAGCATCTTTTAAAGATCATTTATAATTAACATTTCTTGGGGCAAATAGAAAAAAGCAAACATCAGACCAAAATTTCAAAGATAAATCACAGCTGTAAAACAAATGACCCAAGTCTTCCTCGTGTACATTACAAAAACTGCATTTGTTGTCGATATCCATGAATTTTGATAAGAAAGCTTTACATGGGTAGATTTTGTGGAGTATTTTAAAGTGTACCTCTTTAACTTTATTCAACATGCAAAATTGTGATGAGAAGCATGACAACCGAAGATTTGATCTCCCCATTGGGAACGCCACCATTTAACATCAGCTTCGCACGAATGAGTCTCTTGTAAAAAATTATATTTGCATTTGAACGTCTAACAAAAATAAACATGGAATATTTTATGACCCAAAGACTGAGCACGCTATTTCAGTTCGACTGCCTAGCCAGCATAGTCAATAATAACACCTACTCGGTTAATATTCATCTTGATATTCGTCAACAGACAGTTTTTCTCCATCAATAAAAGCATCTGCTCCACGAAAGTAAGCTCTCTTCCCCTCCTCTCTCGCCGCTTTTACCCTTGGCCATAGCAACTTCCTCTGTTGTCTTTCTGCAAATGTCAGGTCCTCTGCCAGGCGAACACCTCTTTCCTTGAGTGCAGGATGATCCCGTGCAGCTCTCCAGACTTTCTCTTTGTAGGTCCGGAGTCTACTGTACAGATGTAAATGTACTTTCCCTTCAGTCTGAGGCTTATTCATTTCACTTCTGGTGTGAAAAGGCTTTTATATTTGCCAAAAATATAACTTTTTTATTTTAAAAACAAACAAGCAAGCCCTGTCCAGATTTAAAAAGTAACGCAAAAGTAACGTAACGCATTACTTTCCATAAAAAGTAACTAAGTCACGTAATTAGTTACTTTTTTATGGAGTAACGCAATATTGTAATGCATTACTTTTAAAAGTAACTTTCCCCAACACTGGCCTTGAACCATCCGGACCACCTGCTCAATTTGCGACACCTTGTTCTCGTTAGTCTTGACCCTTGCAGATAGCGATTTCATCTCCTCGGCCACAAAATCAGCCGTCTTTGAAATATTTACTATAGCCACCGAGTTCTGGGCGATTTGTTGTTCCATCGCTGAAAAGCCATCCGTGAGGGCATTAACAGCACGAAGTATATCGGCATTAGAGACTTTGGGTTCTTCCTGACAAGTTTTTTTTGAAAGAGGACTGCCTGTTGGAGTATTTGGGGATGAATCAAAGTCTCCAGATGATGCTTCGAAAAGCGAAGAAAGTAACTTTCTGTCTTTGTTCTCTTTGGCATTTAGGAAAATTCACGCGTGGGCTGGCAGTCTGATTTATCTATATACGTCACAGTCTGCTGTTGAGGTTTTTATACATGAAAAGTTAAAGCATTCTACTTTTAAAGAGAGTTCTCACTCCCCACCTTGTAAATACAAAACAAATTCGTCCAGAAGATGCAAACTCCTCAAAAACGCCTCAGAGCTCGTCCCAACACAACCGTTCAGCTCGCCATCTTGCGCCACCCCCACCAGAGTCACCAATAGTTTCAGGATCATTTTAGTAATGACGTCACTTGAACCTGGAGGCAGCGGCTGCAATTTGTCAATATTCCACAAGATGGCAGCAGAGTTAAAAACTAATAAAAGTCACACTGACATTACTGTGCTTACACATTTCAAATAGCCTACAAGTAGAGTTAGACAAAATATTTAGTCTCGTTTAAGAATAACCGAAAACTTTATGTAACATTTGTTATAGCGGGAGAGAAAAACTAATTAAACGAACATCCAAATTCCTGTAGGAAACGAAACGGTGTTAATTATTCTTTCGATTAGAATGGTTGTTTCTACACTGCTTATGAGAAACATGGATACATAAAGGAGAGCAGTTATCTTGTTGGAAACTGATGTGCAGGTTGACCTTGTCCCGACCGGTTTTTGTTACTCCTTTTAAAACGCCTCCTCTTTCCACTCACGGTGAAGAGCAAACAGTGTGAATGGTTTAGCATTGCCGCTGTCCACAGGAGTGCCGAAGTATAACTAATATTCAGATATTGAGTATAAATACAGTACGTGGCTAGATATATAGTTAATAGTAGGCTCCTATCAAATTAAGGGGCTTTGATAGCATTTTTCCTATGAGTCGGGTCTGGATTTACCTGTTTCCTGCGCTATGTGCGCTTGTCTTGACAGGTGAGTTTCCTACTTCCTGGATCCACCTTTGATTTCGAAATAAATTTTAAATGTTTGATTAACCTAATGTGTTTTAAATATTTAATTCAACGAGTCATTATTTGTGGTGTTAGGAAGATTCTCTGCCTGCTGCTACGTTTGGCAATTTGAGACTACTGTGGTCACATTATACTATAGTGTCAGAGTTGCAAGCTAGTATGGTTTAACCACTACTCATTTTTAGTGTTATTCTGCGGCACTTATCAGACGCTTATCATATTTACACTGTGCTGGCGTTCATAAAACAAGATTATACGAGATTAGATTGATCCTCAGGGAGTAAATGCAGGAATTATAGCGGTTTGAAGCGGATAGCAGGTGCAGTAAGAAAGATTAACAATATAGGCAGAAAAAAAAACATGTAGTAACAATTGGAAGAAATGGAATGTATGTATTTTTTAATAAAAATAAAATCTAAAATGAAGTACACAAAAACTCAAAATATACTACTCAAAATATATAAACGTATTTGCAAAGAGCCTAGGCTATAGGTAGGCCTACTACTGAGTACACCCTTAAAAATAAAGGTGCTTCACGATGCCATAGAAGAACCTTTTTGTCTAAATGGTTCCATAAAGAACCTTTAACATCTGAAGAACCTTTCTGTTTCACAAAAGGTTCTTTGTGGTGAAAAAAGGTTCTTCAGATTATAAAAAGGTAAGAAAGAGATGGTTCTTTAAAGAACCTTTGACTGAATGCTTCTTTGTGGAACCAAAAATGGTTCTTCTATGGCATCGCTGTGAAGAACCTTTTGAAGCACCTTTATTTTTGAGAGTGTAGAGAGTTCTCGTGAAACAGATTTAATGGTTGGAACGGCTGCAGTCTCAGTTCAAGCAGAGTTAAACACACTGATCACAGCAGGACCCATGAAAGCTTTAACTTAACGCGTAATAATTAGTTCAGGGTAGTTAGTGCAGAACATCTCAGTGCAGCAATAGTCCCATGTGACTGAATAATGCTGTATGAGCTGATCAATCATTGCCAAAATATGATACTGTAAAAAAAAAAGTTTTGATGGTTCAGATTGTTGTGGCTAATTGTTATCTGGAAGGACTGGCTGCTTAAAACCCTTAAGATTGCACTGGACATTTTATAAATCAGTAGTGTGTAAAGGTTGGGATTTAACGATAGAGAATGTAATATTTAGATACAGGTATTGTCATCTCTGTTTTTACATTTCAATATACAGTATTAATAAAAGAAAATGATTTAATGGTTATGTGATTTTCATGTGAGAGGTTTTACTTGGTAACATCTGATTGTACCGATCTGGTAATGGTTTGTAAATTAGATTAGGTCTGATAAGAGAGTTATGACATGAACGTGTCTACGACAAGTATCTATATATCTGTTATGAAGTTTGTGGTAACATTATGATTTTCTCTTTCAATGTTTGCTTCAAGGCCATAGAATGTACATTTTAGTGCCGGGTGTAGGGTGAGGGAATGTAAATGTTGTTGGAATGAGCTGTTTGTGTCACCTATATACTTCTCTTAGTAACATGTTAATCCATGGTTATCAGGTGTACATCATGTGGAGGGAATGGAGTTGTTTACGTCCTCAGAGTTGGAGGCAGTCAATGGGACAGATCTACGGCTCAAATGTACATTTAAATCTACACATCCTCTCTCCGAAGAAAGAGTCTCTGTATCCTGGAGCTTCCGACCACTCGGAAAGACGACAGAAGAATCGGTGAGACTGAATGGGTGTGGAGTTAATGTGTCTGAAAATCTTTATTTACTACTTGCTGAAATGAGGCGGAGTACAGAAAATGCCCTCTTAAAAGGCTGTTCAATAGTCTACAATACAATTTTCCTTCTGACCCTTTCTCTCTATTATTCCTTTCTTTCACTTTAAAAAAAACAAAACAATAGCAACCTCATTTGAGTGGGTCATAGTCCTTCCTTCCTATTTAACTTTCCAATTTAACAACCTTTCTTTCTCTTTCTTTTATTCTGTCATAGATTTTTCACTACCAAAATAGTGCATTTCCCCCAAAAACAGGCATGTTTAAGGGTCATGCTGTATGGTCTGGTGATATAATGAAGGGTGACGCATCCATCACGCTGCAGAATGTGCAGCTCAGATTTAATGGTACCTACAGCTGCCAAGTCAAAAATCCACCCGACATCCAGGGCTTTGTAGGCGAGATCAGCCTCAGAGTCATTGAAAAAGGTAAGAGCAGATGCTGTGCCGCTTAAAATCATTTACTCACCCTTCCAAACCTGTGTGGCAGTGAAGGTGACGGTAGTATGAGCAGGATATTGTGTTCTTTCTTTGATCCCAGCAGCTGAAGGACAGAAGTATCTAATCAACTGGGCTAGAGTAGCAGACAGTCTTCTCTGAGAGTGTTATGGTACAGACAACAAGAGTGAGCGATATTCAGTTTACTGGTCAATCTCTGATAAAGTTTCACATTCTGTTATTTGGAAAGATTTCCTTCTTTATTTCGGTTGAATGTACTTAATGGGCAGAGCTGGGTAGATTACTTGAAAATTGTACTCCGTTACTGATTCCAAATTACAGAATGACAGAATTTGTAGTTAGTGTAATCCATTACATTACACATTTTAGGTAATATAATCAGACTACTTTTTGATTCCTTTTAGATCACTTTTGACCTGACTTGTTAATCACATTGATTTAAATGGGATAATCTTGTACCATATTGATATAAAAATACATACTTATTCTATTCTATTCTATCTACTTGTTTTCTTTTTGTTATATGTACGTGTGTGTGTGTGTGTGTATATATATATATATATATATATATATATATATAAATAAATTTTAAAAAACCTCACTACATGTACTGCTTTAGGCTAACCAAGCCTTGTCATAGTACTTGCATATTATTGCTCTTTTGTTGGCTTTGGTTGCTTCTATTGTCCTCAATTGTGAGTCACTTTGGATAAAAGCGTCTGCTAAATGTAATGTAAATGTAAAATATATTCTATTCATTGTTGTTAACAACATGAAATGCATTAAACATTACATTATGTTAAGGTTTCACAAACTGGGGTTCATGAGGGACATGAGTTTAATGAAAAGCTAATAATTAATTAGAAAGGAAGACTTAAAAGATGGAAAAAAAGAATTGGGGAGTATCAATAAATGATGAATAATTTATTGATATTGTGTGAATAATATATAATTATTTAACCAATAAAATAACTGTAGTCTAATTATGAGTAGTTTAAAATGTAATTTAATCTAAATACAAGTACTTAATTTTTGGAATCTGATTACGTAATCCAGATTACATGTAATCCGTTACTACCCAGCTGTGTTAATGGGCATAATTATTTTATACAGTATTGCCAAATCATCAGTATATACAATAAAAGCGGTGATAGGAAAAATAAATAAAACAAGATGCCAGTACTGGTAATAAAAATGATAATAGTGTTAATAAGAACATACATTTGAAAATAATCAGAATAAAATAAACATTCAATAAGGCAGCTGAGCATTAAGAATACTTTCTGTTTTCTTCTTATAGTTTCATTCTCTGAAATTGGAATTCTGGCAATAGCTGTGGGTGGATTCATTGGCGTTGTTCTCCTGATCCTCATCATTTATATTGTTGTGCGGGTGTTCCGGAGACAGGACGATGATATGGTTGTTGAGATGGAGAACCACAAATCAAAGGATCAGGTGCTGTGAGAGAGGATGCCTGACTCAGTTAGTTTTCTGTCTGGACTAACCCATCTTTAACTACTAGTGATAACATATTTCAACACAGGATTTTCTAATTATATGAAATAACAATATCTAACTTTACAGAGATATGCTTTTAGTTATCATAACCTTTTATTTTTATTTTTGACGTATGTATGAAAACTTAAGGTGAGGTAAAATTTCATATATAAAGTGATATCATCCATCTTTTGTATTCTTAAAAAGATGAGAGATATGAAGTGTTTATATGTGTTTAAACTCTGACTTCATTGCTGCCAATAAGTATGATTGAGAATTTTTGTCATTCTTCATTCTGTGTTTGTCTTTTGCACCGCTTTACAGCAGTTTCCGTCACATACAGTAAACCTGTGCAGCAAAAAAAACAAAAAACTATCCATTTAAGGGAGCAATATAAATTCTAAAACCAGTAACAAATTTTGTAAATAAAGGTAGAATGGATGGATCAAAGAGAAACTTCATGAAAAAAAAAAAATCATCGAACAAATGTAGTACCTGGGCCTTTATTGTTCTTTGTACTGCCCATCTCAAATCTTCAGTGTTCTGGGATTCTCTGTTCATCAATGCTGCATGGATTTTGCTATTTAGAAAATATCTTTCAAATGAGTAAATTCATCCTTTAATCCTAGTTTTAAAAGTCATAAAAACCACAAATGTTTTATTTTTTCTATTACCTACCCACATTGAGTCTGATTGTATGCCAGTTTATGTTTATGTAACCCTTTTTTTTGCGAGGGTTAAATTCTAACTTAAATTTAACTATCCTAGTTTTGGTTGTGCTTCCATTAAACCGACAGATTTTATGATTATTAAAGTGTTTATTCAAAGTAGACTGATTTAGTCATGGCAAAAACACAAACAAGAATTGAACATTATATCTGCAAAATAAGAAGAAGAAGAAGAAGAAGAAAATAAATAAACATTGTGGCTGAATAAATATGGCAAATGATAAATATGAAAAAGCACCCTCTGGTGGCTGTAAAGTCTGTAATAAAATAGTGATAAGATGAGTTAGAGTTTCATTCAATACAGTGAACAGCCAGAGATCCTTCTCCCTTAAATGGACCAACTTTGCACAAGCTCCTTTGTTAAACATGGCTGTAATCAGACAGAAATGTGTATTTATTATTATAGCAAAACTTAGCACACTGAGAAGATGTAGTTTAAAAGCATGTGTTTAAGAGACAGAGAGACAAGACACAGTATATTTTGTTACATTACATTGATCTGAGGTCAATCATGAACCTGTTAATTATAAACACACGCTGTGTTCTTCTAATGATGTGTGTGTGTGTGTGTGTTGTAATAAGATGGATGAGGGACTTCTAAATCCTAGACTTAAAAGGAGTAATTGAATTGATAGATTTTCAATTGTTTCAACCAAATAGAGAACCTGATTTCCTGTATGTGTGTGTGTTTGCTCACTCACTGCGGAATACCAGAGTGTGCTGAAAGAGGCTCGTCCCCTGCCAGACTCTTTGCTGCACCAGCAGAGGACACCTCTGAGTGTGTGTGTGTGTGTGTGTCTGATGAGAAAGAAATGCAGCATTGGTAGGAACTGGTCCAGAAAAGCAGAAAAAACCCTCTCCACCGTCAGTGCAGTACTCGCTGCAGAGCAGCCTCAAAGCGGAGCGTAGAACTCCAAACTGCAGCCCTCATCCCACAAACACACACACACACTTCTGCACTGTCCCAGTGTCTTACACTGTTATGTTATCAGCATGGATATTTTTGATGCCTCACTTGTCTTTACTGTATTTGTGTATATGTATACTGGATACTTGATGTGACCTGTGACACACAATACTTTGTCGAAAACTTGCTTCTTTTTTTTTAAATAATTATTTGTGTTATTTTATGAGCTCATTTTATTTGAGAGAATACATTAAATATTTTGGGATTTATTTGTCATAGTTTGAAATGACTTGCACATTTGCAGCATGCATATTTGAAATTAAAGCAAAGAGGTGTTTAAAACTGGTTAAAACTATATATAGAATTTTCCATCAACATTATAATAAATGTAAACTTCAAATCTTTATATTGAAGTGCAAGAGAGTGCGTCTTTAACTTCAACTATTAATTTAGCATTTCTGTTTTTTAAACTTCCACCAAACATTTAAAAAATGTGAAACACTTTAGGGACAAATTCTCACTTATTACTTGTTGCATATTATCATGTATATTACAAGCATATTGCTGTTTATTATTGCTTACAAAGCACATATTAATTAACATATTAAGTCTTATACTGCATGACCACATTTTAGATCCCTTAATCCTACCCCTACCCCATAAGTTAAGCATAACTTAACTTATGACCTTACTAACTATCAACAAGAAGCAAATTAGGAGTTAGTTAATTGTGAGAATTGGTCCTTAAACTAAAGTGTGACCAAAAAATTTATTTTCAAAAATAATATGTATTTAAAGTTAGTTATGTATAATTACATGCAACTACCACCCCCCTCCCCCCACACCAAAAAAATGCTCTAACCCTATAGTAAGTGCATGCTGTTTGTTAATATTACTCAGTCAATATATTACTATTTCTCAAGACACTGCTCAACAGGATAGTCCAAAAATAAATATAATACAATTATAGCATCATTTATTCACCCTCAATTAATTCCAAAACTGTATGATTTTCTTTTTTCTGTGTATTCAAAAAAAAATATTTATTTTGAGTATGAAATTTTCTTTTTTTTTCTTCTTTTTTTTTTTTTAACTCTTTGGTTATGCAACATTAGCAAGTGTTCCACAGATTTGATTGACTTGAAAGTGAGTAAATTATGACTGTGAACTATCCCTTTAAGAAAGTTTTAGTGATGATAACTAATCAGCCAGTGCCAGATTTTTCTTTGCACAACAGAAACCATGTAATGCTGCAATATCATTATGCTACGTCTCATGTCCATATGGGGATGATGCAGTAAGCATCCATGTGTGGTTTGCAGTCCTCAGTGGAGGGGCTTAAACAAGGGCCTGTTTTGAGAAAAGAGGATTGTTTTAAGCAAAGCAATATCTGGAGTCAGCAGAGAGCTGGACATGTTAGGGCAATAAGAAAAACAGGAGACACAAGACAAAACTCCCAACCAGTTTCTACTGCAGTAAAGGATTTAAGGAAATAAAAAGAAAGACCTGGATTTATTATAATGTAATTAATTTAAACTGTTTGCAAATCATATAGGAATGACTTTTCTTTGATTTGATTAACCATCTCAGTAATTTTAATCTTGACGAGCACTGTTAGCCTGCTGAGGCAGATCAGCTATAAAATGGAGCTACAACTTGTAAAACTTTTAGCTATGTAGAAAACTTGTTGACATTCTAACAACAAATGGTCCTGGAATATGGCAGATGACAGCTTGATGTTTCCTCAATATTTAAATAACTGATCATTGATCCTCTGTTTAGCATAAGAAAAAAACATACTCATCATGGCTTTTTCCAATGATTCACCAATAAATACAAATGCAGCTCTTCACACCCATTTACAGCACATCCTAGTTTACATAGATCTCTAGGAGTCCCAAGTACACAATTTCTGGTTTCAGATGACAATTGTCCTTATCCAGGAAAACCTGACACTGCTGGTGCAGCCTATTATCAATACCAGAGGGGGTGGGGTTGAGAAATGCAGAGTCATAGGAAACTCAATTCTGCCCATTTATCATGGGCTTTTATGCAAACCAAATTATAGTCAAAACTCGCTGACTTAAGTGGGTTCTGTCAGCTGATCTCTCTTGGTGAGGTTATAACAGATAGGGCTATAGTTGTGGGATTACTTTTTTTAATATAGGGATTTGTAGTGTGGTTTTATTTGTATGTACTTGAGTTTGTATGTACCCTTCTGTTCAAAACTTCCCTTTTCACAGGTCAGAGGGCAACCAAACAACCCGAAAAACGGAGCCAGGTGGAGTTTTAGAAACTTCTTCTTCCCAGCTGGGCAGATCCTTGTGCTTCCAGAACTCTTGAGACCTGGACAGGCCTTTGACAGAAGGAATCTTATGTTTGATGTTAGGAACTGCAAGCACAGATTGATCTAGTGCACAACTGCTGAGAAGCGGAGTCTTTGCCACCAGGAAGCATCTTGAGGACTTCTGGGAAACTGACGAAACTGGACGTCAACTGCTGAGGAAGACAGGTGCACGTGACAAAAAGAAGGGAGAAGAAAGTGAAGTGGAGGATGGAGACACAGAGCAGAGGACGTCTGAGAGGAGGAGGAGGAGGCGGTGGCGTGCCTTCAGAAAGAACTGTGTCCTGTCTTCTGCTCACACTCATCATTGGTAAGACTCTCCTCTACCTTCTTCTACTGAAAACATGCTGTTGTTATCTGTAATGTTCAGTTATGATTTTGATTTACAAAAATAAGCTCGAAAAACTGAATCCCTGTTCTTGTCAGAAAGTATGTACCAGTACCAAGTCCTGTACTAACTGTACTAATAATATATATAAAAAATTCATATTAAAAGCTGTGAGCTTGCAAAGTCTATGCAGTTCTCTGATGTCCTAAACACAGACACACACAGATCCAGCTCTTAAAGTTGCATTGCAGAGAAGCAGTAGAGTAAAGTGTTAAAGTCGGCATTAGTTTAGTGGCTCAAATTTCTGGGACATTTTTGCCTCTGAAAATTGAACTACTCACAGGAAACGGTGGTCAGAGTTATAATTTGCTCACCGTCATGTCATTTCAAATCTGACTCGATACTCTCTGTCTGATCATGTTAAAATGTTTACACTGCTTTATTTCATTAAGCTAAGTGTTTTATCATTTAGGTTTGGCCTTGCATATCACAAATCAAGATGTATTTGAATATGGCATGACATGGCTCTGATGAATATTTATTGCTTGCTTATTTTAAAGATCTTATTTTATGATTCATACTTTTTATTTTCTTCAATGAGCAAACAATACATTCAGTTTACAGATAATTAAATGGCAAGTTCAAATTTTGTTTGTCAGTTATGATGGCATATTATGAATGATTGACAGACAATTATGTGTGGGAGAGTTGTGTACGGGGCGTCCCGTGCTGCTCTAGAGAACATACTTTGGACCACCACCACGGACTAATGCAAGATGAGACTTACAGTCAGGAATTTTATTTCATGGCTGGTAAAGGGGAGTATCATAGATCTTTATTCATGCTAAGTTGATCACAGATTTTGAAGAGGGCTGAGATGAAAGACAAGAGGCGGAAGATACCATTAAATAGGCTCTAGAATCAAGTTGTCGGAAAATCATGACTGTTTTAGGCAAACTGCTTAAGACACTTTGAAATATTTTTTTTATCATATAGTTTCATAGTATATGGGGTTTGCTATCTACATTTATTTTACACTGTAACTCTGTATTTTATAGTAAAATTAAAAAAATCTAATTTATGCTTAATTTTATTTATAAAAAATGTTCTCCTAAGGTAATTTGGAAGATACATTACTGATAATCATTAGGTCTCATAAGACTTTTTCCTCATCAATTTATATGCAATTAAATGTTTCTCTGGGGTAAAACAGCAGGCTACATTTCTGTAACGGAAGCACAATGTCTCTTTAGAATACATAATGACAAGCGTGTTGATTGAGTACACAGTGTTTCCACAATCACTCGTGTCCTGGTTTAAAATATCTCTCATGAAAGGGTACAGTTGATTGGTAGGACCTCTTCACTGCTCATGTAACCTTTCCTGACTGCTGTGTAAACTCAGCACTCTCATGCCGGCATATGTTCATTCTGTCACAACTGCGTGCCAAGCAAACTTCTGGACACCTGATGTCAGAGAGCCCCGGTGTGTATGTAAGGTCACCACAGCCTGCTTGTTTCTCATCTACAATAATACATTTATAGTTATAGATGTTATATATTCTATAGGCCTACATATATTATGTATATGTACTTTTTAATATCCAGTCATGCAGTTTCACTGTCAGCTTGCAAAACTGCATTCAAACTTATACAATATACCATGAATATCAACAAATTGATTCTCACAATGAAGCAAGAGAACATGCACATAATTAAATCACTCATTAAATTATGCCTCTTACGTATTTCACAGTAATAGAAGACTATAAAAATAATCGTAAACGACAAGAACAGAACAGGTTAAATATAGATGACTAAAAAATGCTATGCACATGTAACAGTATCTCTGTAGAACCACATCTGAAATGTGAAAGCTGTTATATGAACCTACATGCTGACATATTCAAACTCCTTAATCAGCTGTGTTCTGCATGGTAGAAAACACCATAGACTGTTTTTATTATTATTATTCATTTAGTTTAGTTTTTTCACTATTATTGGTATTACTATTTTTGTTTTACTATTACACTTTCTAAACCATGACTGAAAAAGAGTGAGTTGTTTGGGGGTTGTTGAGAGGTTTCTTACTTGACTAATTATATTTATTGACGCTATAAATTCTCACAAAGATTTATTCATGATTTATTTATTTTAACATGTCTGGGTGCTGAAATGATCACTGAGCAAACCACTAAAATTTAACATAGGTTCTCCAAAAGTTGGCAGCACACCATACAGTATACAGCAGGTAGCCTATAAAAATGCTATGTTGCATAGTAGATATCACTCTGGGCTAGTAACTAGAAGGTTGTGGGGTAAATGGAGCTTCAGCATAACCTTTATGAGTGAAAGCAAGAGAGAATAAATGGGTGCATTGTATATATGTTTTTGTGCATATGTCAGTTATGAATGTCAATAATAGGTCTTAATGACCTTTGATAGATTTTCTTCTTTCCCTTCAGGTTTTGATAATGTTTTCCATCTTCATCTGCTTTCTCTTCCTGTTTCAGGCGTGTGTTGCATTCATGCTCTGGAGATGTCTACTGGTAAGGTTCCATTTCTAGAAGCAGTGAACGGCAGCACAGTGCTTCTGCCTTGCACCTATGCCAGCTGTATTGGGATCACTAACCTCTACTTCAAATGGGAGTTCAATGATAATGGCACCATGCAGAAGGTAACCGCTATTCAGTTTAATAATCATGGGATTGCCTACTTATTCCACTAATGTACATTTAAAATAAGCAGAATAAGCAGATATGCCTATTGCATGTCATTTGCTTAGAATAGAATAGAATAGATATTACCACACAGACACAGCCGATATTTAATAGGCCTATTACACCTACTAATCAACGAACTGTATTGAGGGATCAATAGTTTGAGACCACATTGAAAATTTGCCATTTAAAATCTCATTTAAACCTGAAAATAAAGTTTTAGGATTTTTGGATTTTTTCTGTTTAAAAAAAAGTATTTGTGCTGTTTTTGGTTACTAATCAAATAAGTACATTTGTGGCATTGATCTCGTGAGCTCCTTTGCACGTTCTTATGTGGAGTCATCCAGTGGTCAGACATTACTTAATTTGACCGCGGACTCTATGGAAGCAGATTAGACTCAATAATAATTCACGCAAAGGACACGATGCACACATGCGTATCCCAATTCACATGCATGAAACCCAATTCATGTGCATGAAAAAAATATATTCACAAAAACCAATTCACGTGCACAAAATAAGAATATAAATTCATAAAATACGTTTCACAAATGCAAAACACAATTCACAGATGTACAACAGTGTACAACCATTTTTAATATTTAAATCTTTTTTTTTTTAATTTTGAATTCATGAGTTCATCATAGATTGGGAATGTGTGAATCGCCTTGGATTTGTGTGTGTATTTTTGAGACTTTCCTGGCAGCGAACTCCTCCCATGCAGGACACTCGTACTCTTTAGCCAATCAGATTTGAGCCTGTCGATCAACCAATCATAACCCGCTGTGGGTGTGCCTACCTGGATGTTACGTCATCAGCGCGAGACCACGGTTCAAGTCACGGCAGAGGTTTCTGCAGTTGACCGTTTCATTTCGGTTAAAGAGATAGCTCACCCAAAAATGAAAACTTGATGACGTTTCACAAATGCAAAACACAATTCACAGATGTACAACTGTGTACAACCATTTTTAATATTTAAATCTTTTTTTTTTTAATTTTGAATTCATGAGTTCATCATAGACTGGGAATGTGTGAATCGCCTTGGATTTGTGTGTGTATTTTTGAGACTTTCCTGGCAGCGAACTCCTCCCATGCAGGACACTCGTACTCTTTAGCCAATCAGATTTGAGCCTGTCGATCAACCAATCATAACCCGCTGTGGGTGTGCCTACCTGGATGTTACGTCATCAGCGCGAGACCACGGTTCAAGTCACGGCAGAGGTTTCTGCAGTTGACCGTTTCATTTCGGTTAAAGAGATAGCTCACCCAAAAATGAAAACTTGATGTTTATCTGCTTACCCCCAGGGCATCCTAGATGTAGGTGACTTTGTTTCTTCAGTAGAACACAAACTGAGATTTTTAACTCAAACCGTTGCAGTCTGTCAGTCATATAATGTAAGTGAATGGGAATCACGGCTTTGAGAGTCAATAAAGCATACAGAAACAAAACCCAATTAAACCCTGCGGCTCGTGACGATACATTGATGTGTAAAGACACAAAACGATTGGTCTGTGCAAGAAACTGAACAGTAATTATATCGTTTTTTTACCTCTGATTCACCGCAATGTCCGAACTGTCCTGAGCACGTTCTCGACAGCTGGCGCATGGCGCGTCTTCTTCCTCTTCTTGCTTTACGGCGGATCGCAGACTTACAAGTGCATTACCGCCACCTATCTCTCAAATGGACTGTTGACACTCCTAATTGAGATTGTAGATAGAGTGTCAGTGGTCCATTTTTGAGTCCATTTTAAGCAACCGAAGCTTCAAAAACAACCCCAATATTTTCAATTATCAATATTATTTATTATCAATTATATATTACCAATAAATGAGCCTGCAACATACTAAACTGAAACTACTCTTTTATCTAAAAAGTCAAAACGGAAGTTATTTTTACAAAAATCAAAGTGGGAACAATACTCATCTCCAATCACCTGTGAGCAGAATAGGATTAGAGAGATGGAAAAGGAGAAGAACTCAGTCTACTATCATCGCTTGGATTACAGCGTCATACTCCTTCTTTTTGAACATGATGGGCGGAATATTTGAGCAATTATGCTACAGCACTTATATTATTGCACTAATTGGCCTTTAACTGTGAGCAGACAGAGTGTCAATCAATGCATTGGAGACTATGGCGTAAATATAACATAAATGTAAAGAAACAAAGCTGCTTGTCAGATTTTCCTAACAAGCAACCGTATTTTTTAAAATAACTGGGATTTTTTTCAGCAACTTTACAAAAAAAAGAAGCTCAAAATCGGGTAAAATAAGCGGACTTGGCAACTGTTGTCTCGAGCTGATGACGTAACATCCAGGTAGGCACGCCCACAGCAGGTTATGATTGGTCGATCGACAGGCTCAAATCTGATTGGCTAAAGAGTACGAGTGTCCCGTGTGGGATGAGTTCGCTGCCAGGAAAGTCTCAAAAATAGACACACAAATCCAAGAGGATTCACACATTCACAGTCCATGATGTATTGTGTGAATTGTGTTTTGCATTTGTGAAACGTATATATTTTATGAATATATATTGTTATTTTGTGCACGTGAAATGGTTTTTGTGAACATATATATTTTTTTTCGTGCACATGAATTGGGTTACACATTTGTGCATCGCATCTTTCCGTGAATTATTATTGAGTCTAATCTGCTTCCATAGACTTTCATAAAAACCGCAACTGGCGCCATCTTGCATCTCAGTTATCAGTTGTAGTTACAATAACTTCAGAGGACTTCAGTACTTAAAATTATAGTACTTGGGGGCAGTTGTGGCCTAATAGTTAGAGAGTTGGACTTGTAACCTGAAGGTTGCGGGTTTGAGTCTCAGGTCAGGCAGGAATTGTCGGTTGGGGGAGTAAATAAGCGCTCTCTTCCACCTTCAATACCATGACTGAGGTGAGACCCTTGAGCAAGGCACCAAACCCCCAAACTGCTCCCCGGGCGCCGCAGCAATATGGTTGCCCACTGCTCCGGGTGTTTGTTCACTACTGTGTGTGTACACTTGGATGGGTTAAATGCAGAGCACAAATTCCAAGGCCACACGTCACTTCACTTTCACTTTACATTTACTGTTAATATTTTATAATGTTGTAGTAGACTGTTTTCTTAGCGGAAGCTTTAGAATAATATACAGGTAAAAATGACTAAATATTTTCATTCAGTATATCCTGTCAACATAGCCTGTTTATTTAGGCTATTTGGTAAGCAGTCGCGTAATAAGCTAGATAATATAATTAATAATGAATTATAATTAATTGCTCAATGTGGATTGTCCTTTACATTAAGCTTTTATTAGATTTAATTACTTTAGACAACATTCAAAACATAATTTTAAAATGAGTTACCATTGCTAAGTCTAACATTGATTAGATGGAAATATAAATAGCAAAACTTAGCCAATAGTAGCCTACTGTCACAAATTCGGTCCATGGACTTCCGTTTATTCACCACCAGAGGTCACCCTTTCCATTACATTGACTCTCGCACAACACAAACTGTTGCATAGCACCCCGGACTACATATCCCATCATTCATTGCACGGTTTGCACACTGCACTGATTGCACTCATTGCACACAGCTGTTTCTTATCACCTCACTTACTATATAACACCCACTCAAACCACCATTCTCGGCTGAGTATTGTTTAGCCTGTACCCCTTTCCGAGTCTCCGTGTTTTCCCTCTTTTGCCTTGCCTGTTTTTGCGGTTTCTGATCTTTGCCTGTTTTCCTGGATTTTTCCCTCTCGTCTCGCTCCTGTGATTCTGTCTGCCGATCGGTGACCTACGCTAGCCCTAGGACTATTCTTGTGTTTTGCCCGCCATATACCTGTTTGCCATTGCTCAACCCTGCCTGTTATACCACGTCTCTTTAAATAAAGCTTGCAGATGGATCCACACATCTCCCGTCTCGTCAGCCCCGTTACACCTACTTTATCTTGAGCTGGTTTTGTATGCCTTCAAGGGCACTTGAAGTGGAAAGAGAACAGTTCTTACAAATCATTCCATTTACCTGATATTGTTTCTCAGTGTCATGTTCTGTGCAGTAAATTGTAAGTGTCCTTTCAAGTATCAGTCTTCAAAGTCATGGAGAGCAGTTGGAGTTATCAATATATTAAGATATAAATTTGCACTTCAGACAGTCTCAAAGACAAAAAACATATCTTGAGCCAGTGTTAGCTGAACTTTTACATATGCTCAGTTTAACATTAATAACTGACAGTTCTGTTTCCCAATTAGATGGCTGATTCTGTAATTCCAACGGATCACGTGGAGCCAAATAAAGTGAACATTTACCGTGAGAGGGTGGAGTATGTCGGTTCCAGTAAAGAAAATAACATCTCCATCCTGCTTTGGAATGTAACATTTGAGGATGCAGGCGTCTACATCTGCTTTGGCAAAAACCCCAAAGAGAAGGGCAAGAATCACAGCGCCATTTTCACTCTATATGTAGTAGAGGAACGTAAGTGTTGCAGGGTGGGAAGAGAGGGAGTTACAGAGAGAGAATGGTACATGAACATCACACTTCAAAATTATTAAAATAACTGTTTGCCTTTTTCTCCTCTCTCCTTCCCTTTTGTCATATTCTCTGGCTACCCTATTCTCAGTAAGGGAGGTTGATAACACACTCACCATCATGATTGCCTCCTGTGTTGGTGGATTCATCGCTTTTTTAATGGCCTTCATGCTGCTAAAGAACTTCACTCTGTTCGTTCTCGCAAAGATTGAGGAAAACAAGTGAGTTCTTGGCAACCTTTAGGATTTACACATAAGCATAAATTCTCGTACCCTTTTCCAGATACAGACCATGTCATTGCTTGACAATAAAGATGAATTATAAAACAATTGATATAAAAATGTATATGTTAGTAATAGTAGTATGTATATTATCTACAGTGGGGAAAAAAAGTATTTAGTCAGCCACCAATTGTGCAAGTTCTCCCACTTAAAAAGATGAGAGAGCTTCCTTATCTATATATCATCCTTTATCATCTATATATTATCTTCCTCTCATTGTGCCTATTTCTTTCTATATTTTTCAGTAAGGAATGCCTCGTCACCTCCTCAGGGATTGATAACACAGAGAACGGTCTGTCGGGCTCCAAATCTACACCAAAGAAAGCATGACAGCGTGCAACCAAACACAGTCCCACATGCACGTGAAAACATGGATCAGCCATCATGCTGTGCCCTCTCTTTTTATTTACATCCGTGTTTACAAATGCTATACTTATGTTTTTATTATGTAGAGCAATCATAGTATTAAACAAGATTTTCATTCATAACATTTCCATGGATGATATTCACATGACTCATTTTAAACATTTAGTTGATGCATAAACACGGATATGAATAAAAAGAGGGGCATAATGTATTTCTGCATATATTTCAATTTATATATGCATTTAAATATGCACCACACATGCAGCCTCACGCACTTTAGTTTCTTGGCCCACACCGAATCTGTGGGCTGTATTTATTCTTATGATAGAAAAATTTTATATTTTCTTCAACAATGCTTGACACAGGGAAAAATGTAGCTATGCTATTCATTTAGTTCATTGAACTGGACTGTAAAACTGTGAAGGCCCCATGGCCTCATTTGTACTGTAGGTATGTAACTAAAATAGTTGTGAAAGGAGTACATTTCTTGTGTTAAAAAAAACAAAACATGCAGTGCTGTTTGTCAGATGGCCATCGAATTTGAAAATATATCTGTTGCAGAAAGATCAGTTATGCAACAGTGATTTGCATTGTTTCACTGACAGACTGTCATAGCTGATTAATGACACTGCATGTTTTAATGCAGTACCTCTAAATAGAGCAAAAAAATAAATAAAAATCAGCAGAACTCTGATTGTAATAAGCATGAAGGGAGAATTAGGCCTTATTTGAACAGTCTTGAGTCCAGTTCAAAATAAACATTACCGTTTTTGCTTGAAAATGAAACACAGGTGCCTGTTAACGCTTCTGTCGCCACCTTTTGGCGAGGATGACATTACATTACAATGCAAAGAAAAAAAAAAAGAGAATACAAAACAAAAGGAAAAAAAACGCTGCAAAACTGCAAAAGCCACCAAACAGTTAGTAAATACAAGCTAATGAATGATACTTGACAATCCGTAGAAATCAGTATCCTCTTAGAGAAATCCCTGAATGAAACACTGAAAATGATGCTTCAAATAATTTCCAGTGCATTATAGCATGTTAAATGGCCAGACGTTTTAGGAGTACATGGCTGACTATAACAGTAGAGACATTATATGTAATGCTTTTTTATTGAAATATTGAAACAAAATTGTCACATACGGAACATAATTATCATCAGCTTTGAAACTAAAAAATAGCTTGGTGAATTTTCATGCTAAACAAAATATGAATACCAAAAAGGGAAAAAAAATATGTATAATATTTCGATGCAAACAGACATACTGTGACCTGAAAACCATGCAGCTCACCCTATGACATAATGAAAATGCAATATTTAAAGGCAATAAACTCATCATCATACAGTCATGCAAAACAACAAACTAAATGAAAGTATATATGATGTAAATATACATTTAATAATCGAGACATGACTGAATGTAGTCTCACAGATTTTCAGAAGTTTAGCTAATGAGCATAAAGCATCAAACTTTCACTTGAAGGATTCAGGGAATTCAGTGGAGACAAGAGAAGGGACTGACGTCAAGCAAGTCTGATGAGGTCTGTTCATTCAATTAGAAATGAAATAAGATTAATCAATAGATAAAATGTACTAATAATCTGTTATTAAAATACAGAAGTGCTGTACAAAACTCTAAATGACTGACAACAGATTATCCCGTCATTTAAAAAGATATGTTATCGCTTTTAGTTAAATATTATTTAGGGAGATATATTTTAACAGAGTTGTTAAAGGCACAATATGTAAGATTTTTTTATTAAAATATCCAAAAACCCCTAGACCATTTTTATATATTTTGCTGACTTGTGTACTTACATTATCCCAAATGTTTCGAAGAATGTTTAAATCCAGAGAAAAAAAGCAATTTTAACTAGTGACACGGACCGTGTCCATAGTGTCATTGTGTCGCCTGCCAATGACGTCATAACCCCTCGATTTCCTGTTTTGTTTTGTAGAAAACATGGAAACACCAAAGATGCTTGAATATGTTGTGCGTTTTATTAGACCGGGGACGACCGCACAGAGTAGCATTATAACAGAACGTTCAAATGTATCTAGTATGATAAAACAGCGCTGCTTACTTCCGCTGCTTTCCGGATGAGCGAAAGCGGTCGACTGTGGCATAATAAAAGCTCCGCTGCTTTCGAGCCATGTGTTGCGCTCGTTCAGCGGCCTCGTTTCGCTTCGACGGCTTTCAGCCTCACCCTGCTTCATACTACGACGTTAATAAATCTTTAATATATTAGCTCATCCATGAACATGATTTCTGCCCGAGTCCCATCGGATTGGTTCAGCTGTGGGGATGAAGACAACAACTCCCATGATTCCACACTCAGTCACGGCGTCATCTAATCAAAGGTGACCATGATTTTATCAAGTACAACATGTTCCTGGATCAACATCCTTGTTGATCCTGGAACAACATTCCTATCAACCAATCAGAATTGAGGGACAACTTTTCAGGAAATATCTGTTTTAGGCTTACAATCAGGGTTAGGTGCTTCTACACCCTTGTTAATCAGCTATCATTTCACACTGTTTTTAGGAATAAATTATGGGTAGGGTAGGGTTAGGTTTAGGGGTAGGGATTGGGTTAAGTCTATATTTTTGGACAGTTATGTTGATCCAGGATCAAAAACAGATGTTGATCCAGGAACATGTCTTACTTGGCAAAATCACGGCAACCTAGTTTTACGCCTTTGTTTCATTTTTGAATACGTGCCCTCTAGTGGCAAAAAATTACATAGTGCGCCTTTAATATAAAGAAAATATTGAAACAAATCTATTGATCTGCTTTAGAGAGCTCACCAATTTTACTGAATGCTTGAACATTTTACAGGTCTTTGGATTTTGCAGTTGTTAGTGAATTTTACTGTGAATCTTGGGTGATGTTGGTCATGAAAGTCTTCCTTGAAAAAGCCGCTTGTTTTCAGTGACAAATGAGTTAACTCCAAATGAATAATCTAGTCAGAGGTTGTAACTATAGAGCACAAAAAAACTGTAGGAGAAATCTGGTAAATTTATACCATATTTGGACCTGAAAAAAAATCTATAAGGAATGTGTACTGTAGGCTATATCTAGTAGCTGTCCTCTCATACCCCAGTGTAACATCACTAAATGTCTATTGAAACAGCAATTTCATTTGGAAACAGTATCTTATATTTAACATTGTAAAAAGGGGAGTAGCTGAAATTATTGTTATTCTGTTTGTTAAAGGGCCACCGATTTTTAATATGATCTTATGGCACACAGGTCAGTAAAGCAATACACATTTAGAGGGCTCTTTAGCTTCTTTTAATAGGAGAAATATTGGAAAGGTACATTCATACATATTCAAAGCACTTGTACTACCTCTTATTCAAACATTTTCATCATATCATTGTGCTGAACTTGTATTTAATATTTTACATATCATATGTTTTTGAAATAGTTGAGGTTTTCTCAGGTCGCTCAGTGAAAGAGTTTGATATTCTGCTTGATATTGGGTTTTTAATTAATGTTGTCCTTACAGTCTTCCCTCTATTAATGCACTATTTAATTAACAACATATCAGTTTTGGTTGCATTAGTTATTTGTCAGGCTTGGCAGTAATCATGGCCTAATTGTGATAGTCACACATTTTTCAACCAAACCACAGACATTAGGAGTAAATGCAAAGGGGAAGTTTCCACCATTATTTGAAGTGAATGTTTTTCCTAAAAAGTATTTCTCTGTTCATCTTTTGACATTGGAATTTAAAGCGAATTTCTGTCCGAGACCTCAAAAAAAAAAAAAAAAAAAAAAAAAAAAATTTCATTGCATGCCAGAAACATAACTATTGTGATATTGTGCATGTCTGTTCACACAACCTGTGATTCTAAACTTGTGAAGCTTTGTGGAAAACCTGAATGAGGAAATGCCTGAGACAGTGCAATAATAGAGGATGTGGGAGAAACCAGTTAAAAGGTGGATAGCTGGTTTGATTTTCTTCAGTTAATCTTTTAAATCACTCAGATGGATGGGGAAATATCTTAAATTGATCAACCCAAACTAGTAAAATGTACAAATAGTTTTTTTTAACTGAATCAGATACATTCAGATGCTTTATGAAGACTGAGCTACACCAGACTTTTGAGACAAAAATGTAAGACCAAGGGGAATAGAGGCCTGAAGGACTCAAAAGTCCACAGAGTCAGAAGAAACACTGCCTGAGGAGTACTGTTTGGAAAATGACAAACTTGGAATTTGGAACATCAATCCTGATAGTCGAACTCAGCTCAGCTCAACACAATACATAGTAGACATTGTTTGACATCAGTCTCTGTAAAACTGAATGCAAAACACATGCTGTATCATAGATGCTCCACTCAGCCCATAATCCAGAATTTTTGATCCCATTGTTTCCTTAAGCCAGTGTGCAGGCCTGTTATTCCCCATTCGACTGCACAATCATGCATATTGTATTTCTTTATAATAAGAAGCAACTAAAATAAAATGTTTTAGATAAAACAAAGGTTGTGATGTGTGCTGGATTAGTAAATGCATCAAGTAAAAGCTTTATTGTATTTATTTTTTGCTTTCTAAACGCTGTTGGTCAGAAAAAAAAAATTAAAACACTTAAAGTACTTTAACAGCTTTAGAATGAACATACAGTAGACTTACAGGAAATGTGAATAGTGAGAAAAAAAAGCATGATATTTTGACATATGTCAAAATAATTATAAAATTGAACTATATCTAGATTCAAGAACATTGATTTCTGTACTCTCTGAGGAGATTTGTCTTTCCTCCCGTGTCACGAAAGCATGAAGTTATGCGTCCATGGTTCACTTTCTCATGGCTGTCTCTGAAACATGACATTCAATATGGAAATATATTTTCCTTTCTTGTATATTAATATGCACAATCATGTGAAACATACCTCCATTACAGTGTATATCCAGTTGAGAAGTTGACTAACATCAGTGTAAACTCCAGGTTTTCCCTCCCGTGCACAGCCCACTCCCCAACTCACTATACCCATTAACTGCCAACGAGATGAAAGGTACACTAGCGGACCCCCACTGTCCCCCTGAAAAAGACAACGATACAAAGACAACGATATACATCACTTCTGAAGGAGAGCCTGCATTTAATTTTTCATTTGTTGTCGTTACCTGACACGCATCTATGTTTCCTTTGAGGAATCCCGCACAAAGCATTCTGGGAGTAATGGCGGAACCGTAAACAGAGGGCTTGGAACACTCGGACCTGTCAATCAGGGGCACTGAAGCTTTCTGCAGCACAGAGGGCAGCTCACCTGTGTAAAATGAGAAGAGGAAATGCCAGAGACAAAACAATTTAGAGAATGTGGGAGAAACTGAACAAAAGGTGGATTTCTGATTTAAAACAGGTAGAAGGTCACAGTCCTGCCTCAGAGTTTCCAATTATCCATTAAGTGACAAACCCCCTTCCTCTTACCTTTCTCCTTGAGCAATCCCCATCCAGTCACCACAAGCATCTCCTTCATAGACAGCTGGTGTGGGGGTAAACAAACTGGCAAGATTGAGTCTAAGGATATACAGAAAATGAGACCTTTAGCCAATGACATTTATTTGGGCCTTTTGTTCTATAATAAACATCACAAACCACTGACTTTACTAAACTACTGACATTACTGCCTTCGAGTACTTTGATACTAGAGTAATTACACATTGAGGCTTCTCAAAGGAATTAAGTTAAAAATAAACAAAACGTACTGTAAGTGATCCTTATTCATGTTTTATGTTAAACGTGTTATATGTTATGGACGACCTTTATTTTGTGTGTGCGCGCATGTGTTTTTTGGAGCTCTCTATGAACCATAACCATTAACCGTCATTGTTTGGGGAAGAAGAAGCCACATGGAGCAACATACAGGTTTGGCTCAACATGAGGGTGAGTAAAAGTTTGTTTTTTTAATGGGAGATCTCTTGTTGTTAAAAAAAAGGGGGGTTTCATAAAGTATCTTAAATGTCAAGCTAGCAGCAAAGGAGGGAAAATGTAGTTACAGGTAGTGGGACTCACGCATGCTTAAAATGTCTCATAATAATTTAGTCTCATTTTAAATCTCTGATATAAGAAAGCAGTTAATCAGAATGGATGAATGAAGTACCGTACCCCCAACAGTGACAGGCCAAGTGAGTTTTAGCATAGCGATGTCAAAGTCATTACTCAAGCTACTGTAGTTATTGTGGACAACAATCGTCTCCACGCTGACACCCCTGGATCCCACCACTTCGGTCTGACCCAACACCACAGTCCATCGACTCAGCTCTCGTGTCCGGCTAAGAGTTTGTGTGTGAGAAAGCAATGCAGCAAGTCACAAAACAACATCTAAGTGGACCAACTAACCTATAGTCATAAATTTAAACAAGTAAAAATGTGTTCTTATTGTAAAGAGAATAATTTTATTAAAAAACATCTGGATTAGGTTTACTATTCAAGACATTTCATTAGTCAACCGAGTTATTCAGTGGAAAAACTGAATAAAATCGAAATGCTTTTGACTAAAATTGTGTTCTAGAACACATCTTGCATTTGTGAATGGCTTACCCTGTGAAACAGTGAGCAGCTGATATGACCCAGTACTTGGACAGTAATGCTCCTCCGCAAACATGCTGGTGGTTCCACTGAAGACTAACCTGCCACGGCCAGTGTTCGACTGCGGTGTCCAGCCCACCAACAATACGGTCCTCTCCCACCACCTCTCCACAGTCTGTATTAACACAGGGGGGGACGTTTATAATAAGAGACATGAACAAACAAGATATTAGTATGCTTCCTAATTCCTGAAAAAAGCAAACTGGAAATAAAATTGACGTTCAGATTTGAAGTAGAATTAAAAATTAATTGAAAGGGGGAAAAAAGGAAAGTTTGTTATATAAAAAAAACTTTGATTTTGAAGTTGAAGTTTGAAAAACTTAATTCAAAGTTTAAAAATTTGAAAAAAAGGCCATTCATTTTCTAAGCTTTATGTCCAGACTAATTGTAGAACATTGCCAGAGTGTTGAATGTCTTTCAACTGCAATTCAATAAATTCCCTTTCCTGTCATTCCGGTCCCATTTTTTGTGCACAGTAGCCAATTAAATTCAAATCCCATGAATGTAAAGGAAGCCAAAAACAATGCAAAACCTGACCCACACACACACACCTCAACAGTTTTACCTGAGCAGGACACAGACACCACTGAGCCAGAGAAACATCTGTCACTGTGAGAGAGCACATCATTATTTCCATATGTAAATGACAACATGATTATTTTGTGTGGAGAATATCACAAATGACCTCATAGCAAGTGTATCTCACCTGACTGAGAGGAAACTCTGGATGTCAGAGTGTGTGGAGTTTTTGCTGACTGTAGCAAATGCATCTTGAGGGCTGAAGAGCAGACTCCTTACCGGGACTCGTGCACTTCGTGGACTCCTGTAGTGGAATATTTCCTGAATAAACACTATATACTGCAATCAATGGGAAGATGATCAGATTTCTTAAATGTTGCAATATGATAGCACTTACATATGGTTTTACAGCTTAGTTTACTAAAGGTCATTGGTTTTAAACTATTGTGCCATGTGTGTGCTCTACTTACACTGTATAGCCCAGTTGTTGACAGGCCAAGCGCGTGTGCTTTGTCCTCCAGTTATCAGCACACACTGTTCTCCATCCACCCTCATTATTAAACACCTGCAGGACCAGTCTGTCCCCCATCAGCCGCACTACATCGGTAAATATAGATGAATCACATGTTCGCCTACAAATTCATCTTTAATAAAGCAAGGCCAGGGGACAGTTAAAAATTATCAAAAGTGGTGTAAAAAATAAAGGTTCTTTATTGGCTTCTCTGGTTCCATGAAGAACCTTTAACATCAGTGGCACCCTTCCATTTCACAAAAGCTTCTGTACAGTGGAAATAGGTTAAATACATTCTTACATAAAGGTTCTGATTTATATTTTTAAATGGGTTTATCACATTAGAAATTAATAAGAAAATAAAAATAGTTATTTTAATAACTACTGACTATAAGGTTCTTTAGAGAACTCTGTACGATGTTCTATGGCATTGCATTAAAAAAAACTTTTAGGAGCCTTTATTTTTAAGAGTGTAAGTGCGCATAATCACCTGGATACGTGTCATTGGTCCGCAGTTTGGATACACATTTGATTTCATCCTCACCGCCTGCACAGTTAGCCTTTCCATCACATGCCTTTTCTATTGAAATGAACCTCAGTGAGCCAGAGCAGAAGAAAAACTTGCTATTCACCATCTTAACGGCTGGAAAGTATACAAACAAAGATCATTTTCAGAGAGAATGTTTTATATGAAGTGGTCAAAGTAATAAAATGATTGTCATATAGTGATAAGTAATTTACAATGAAGAAAAATAAAGATGGCAGAGAAAGGAGAATGGCATCGCAATAGATTCTTACTAAAATACAACCCCACTATCAAGGTCGCTAGTATCACTAGCACACAGCACACGGTGATAACAGTCGATCTCCAGCGTGCTCTGCTCTCCTCAGTCCTCAGTGTGCTCAGTTCTCGCCTTCGCTTTAGCCTCAGGGCCATGAGAAACCAGAGGAAAACAAACTGATAGAAAGAAATCTAGCCAAAACAGTGGATTTTACTGGTTGTATGGCTAAATATATTCTGAATAGGTTTATATGTGTGACTGGTATTATTATCTCAGTTCTAATTAGTGAATCTCACAAGGGTGCCCATCATATGAATGACTAACAGCAGACACTAGCAGTGTTTAGGGACTCCCTAGTTATCACCTTCACTCAGCTGATCTGTGTTAACTAATCAGTTGGTGGCAGGTTTTGATGATACTTTGGCTGAATTCAGAACAGCACTACTAGTTCACAAAACAGCTTAGTTCTGCCACATTTGAGTAGTAGCATATGCTAGTATGCTAATGGCATTCTGAATTCAGCCTTTCATTTCATATTCGGTTTAAATGTCATTTTTGTAATTTTAAGTTCAGAGAGCTTATTTAACGTTAAGAGAATTTGTCAGCGTGATACCAAATACCTTAAATAAGTAAAGCAGTAGAGAAGATTTTTTTCTTGAATGACAGGTGTTGGTTTTTATTGCTAATTTTTTGGCATCTAAAAGACACACCTTGCTGAATAAAAATTATGACATACAAAATACCAAGGTTTTTAAGTATGTCAGACACCTGATGCACATTTGCCGGTTTTGTATTAGAAATTTGAGACACTGTTTATAAACATGATTGTGTTTTTTCTGTGAAATGTGTTAATGTGTATGTGTGCAGGTGTGTCCATTATTCCCTTCTTTCAATTAATCTGTGATAACTGATGTTTGTACTGTCAGTCTAAATATATTCAAAAACACTCAGACTATCTTGCCTTTATTCACAAATTGTGTGGGATATTGTGTGAAATGTGATATATGTGTAAACATACTTGTGTGATAGAATGACAGTCTGATGGAATCAATTTCTCAAAGTTTCTCAATTTCTGTTGTGATGGAAAATTCTGTTCTCACTCTTAAAAATAAAGGTGCTTCACGATGCCATAGAAGAACCTTTTTGTCTAAACATCTGAAGAACCTTTCTGTTTCACAAAAGGTTCTTTGTGGCGAGAGAAGGTTCTTCAGATTACAAAAAGGTAAGAAAGAGATGGTTCTTTAAAGAGCCTTTGACTGAATGCTTCTTTGTGGAACCAAAAATGGTTCTTCTATGGCATCGCTTGAAGAACCTTTTGAAGCACCTTTATTTTTAAGAGTGTGTTTGTGTATCTGCATTACAATGTTTCTATTGACATGTTGTTAAGAAACTCTGTTTAAAAAGGTTGCCTGTTAAACCAGTTAAACAGGTGAAAGAGAGAGAGAGGGATAAATGAGTTTCTACAGGGTGAGTTTGTCCTGCTCTGATGATGTAATAGTTGTACTGTGCCACCAGCAGGTGCATGACAGAAAAGAAATACATAGCTTAGGTACAGGTAGAGTCTTCCTTATCTCTTTAAACGGATACTCATCAATGGAGCACAGACAGGTATGAATACTTTAATACCCAACGAAATGTTCTCAAAAGAAACATGGATATATAGAACAAACAATTGTATTTCAAGTGTGTGATCAGTTCTTTTTGTGGTTAGTTTTGATACAACTCTTGTTTTGTGATTTTGTTAATATATTATTGTCAATGTATTAGCATCATTTTGTTTCTCATCAGCTTGTGTGTAACACTACAGTCGACTTGGTATTGTGTCCTAGTTACCTTAGTTACCTGTAATAATTATTAACACGTATACATTCTAACTTCCTTAGGTAGAATATTTTAATAGAATTAGTAACCATTTGGTTATTAAAAAAAGTAACACAATTATAAAAATGAGGCATATTACATGTGACTGAGTGAATGATTCACTGTGTGAAATATATAGAGCATGTTCCAACTGGATGCAGTTAGAGAGAAGATCTGCAACATGCCGTAAGAAGGAAGGGCAGTTTCTGAATCTTACAGATTTTTTCTTTTTCAGAAAGAAAAGAAAAGAAAAACACTGTGTTTAACATCAAAATTCACAGTGTCATTTACTGGACGTTGGTCATTGAGAATTATTACAAACGTGATTTTTGTGAAATCTAAGAATGGAACAAATATAAACCACTTAAATCATCTGTATTTGGTCAGATTTACAATAAATGCCTGTCACTGTAACTTACATCCTGTTGGGTTCAGTACACTATGCATGGCAAAAAATTAAATAGTCTAGACTCTAGTATATTGCAAGACACTAGTGAAAAATAAATATACTAAAATGTATTTGAAATACTTTTATTTCATGCTAATTATACAACAAATAGATTTACATATTTATTTGCGTAATAAAAATACAATGCAATTGTACTGTTGTTATACTAAACTGGTATACTTAAAGTCTAATTCTGTACTTTTTTTATTTTTGCACTTTAAATGTGCGGAAGTATTGCTGAAGTCCAACTAAAGATATACTGAAGTATATTTGATTGTGCTAAAGTGGACCTGTTGCAAGTGTACTCCAGGTACACTTTAAATATCTGGCATTTAAAGACTGATATTGTTCAAAGATCATACAATCCTCATCAATAGTGACATTGTGACACAAAACACATTTTAGGCTTAATTTTAAGAAAGTAGTACTCCAAATACATTTTTATATAATTTTTAAATCAGTAAGTCTCAAGCAACATGCCAGTAAATATGTTAATAGATTTGAACTATATTTAGAATGAAATAAATGTATTGTAAATATATAACTTTTTTACTAGGGGAGGGTAGCAGTCATCTGGTATATAATGGAACCAAAATAAATATAGTCCTACGCTACTTTTGTGTGTAGTGTACACAGCTATTAGAAAACCAGTTAATGATTAATGGGTGATATAATATCTGGGTTATATATAAAAAAATCGCTTCATTATGAAAAACTACAACAAATTCAAGATTTGTTCAAATTAAAGGCAAACAATGCGCCTATGTATATAATGCATTTAAGTGGCTAAGATGTCTGAAATGCTCTGTTAACTCCATGCAACATCTTGCTTCTGTCTTTATAATATATATATATATATATATATATATATATATATATATATATATATATATATATATGTACGGTATCTCTGTTATATATGTACGGTATGTCTGTAGAGCAGGTGTGAGTATGGGCACTTATTTGAATATGGAAAAGGAGGTTCTTTGAATCACACATTTGGTCAGGCAGGACTAAAAAAGTAAAGGGGATTTTGGTTTCACCATCTTCCTTCACCTGTTACCAAATCCCCATGCAGTCATAGCCAGAGTCACATCCTTGCTCAACAGTGTGTTGTAGACTGATGTGTATCAGCAGGTTTGTGTCTCACATGGTACTCCCCCGTCCAGATTTGCACCACAGACACATTCGAATGTACCAAAAATCAAGATTACAATTTTTGAATAAGGTTCTAAAATTTTATCATTGTTGGAAGAATTTATTTGAGAGAATAGAATAGTTGTGCCCGCTGATGGTGAGGAGGTGCTTGTATTATATCTAGACAGAAATGTATATGAATGAATATACAATACATTGACAAAAGTATTGGGACACCCCTTTCTAATGAACAGGTTTGACTACTTTAGTAATTTCCATGAGTACAAAGAACTTGACTGGTCTGCAGAAAGGAATGCCCTAATCTGAACACCTGCTGAACACCTCTGGTGTGACTTAAAATGCAGAGTTTTTGGCTCAAGGTCTGCATTTAAAGTCACACCAGAGGTGTACAGCTGGGATTAGGACTTGGCTTTCTGCAGACCAGTCAAGTTCTTCCACACTGACTGAATTAATAATTTCTTTTTGAACCTTGCCTTATACACAGAGACATTGTCATGTTAAAATAGAAAAGGGTCCTGTCTAAACTATTGCTAATTAGAAGCACACAATTCCCTAGAATATCATTATATGCTTTAACATTAAGATTTGTACTCATGGAAATGACTAAGGTAGTCAAACCTATTCATTAGAAAGGGGTGTCCCAATACTTTTGTCAATATAGTGTATATTAAAATTATAACTGTATATAAATTATGACAATATAACACGGTAATATATTTACCAAATATATGACAAATAATTTCTTTTAAGGTGAATTCTGTCCTTGTTAAACAGAAAAGCAGCTCCACTGCATTAAGCAGGGCCTTGAATATCAGACTTATCGTAAATGTATGAACAATTCATTTGAACTCTGATTGACAGTACAGATATGTTTACTGTGAATTTAATTTGATGACAGATGAGAGTGAACAGTGTTTATAGAAATATAGATTTATAAACATCTTGCATTTATTTTATGAATACAGACTGAGTCTCCTCCCTCATATGATTCTGTGGTGAATCACAACACGCCTCCACCTTCATATCCGAGTCTTCAGACATTGTCAGCCACCCAAGTCCAGCCGTACTACATACCACAGCCAATACATCAAACACCTGCTCCTGGTGTTGTACAGACAAGTAATATTTAATAGCACACACTACCTATACACGCATAGGTCTTAAAAACACGGTCATTAAAATAATTTGAGGGATCATAATTAAATAATTCAATTCTTTGTATCTGTATTAAATAATTATTAGCATTTATGTATTTGTGTCAATAGCTATTGTTGTTTTCTTTCTGCAGTCCCAACACAGAGAGATCAAGCTCCCTCACACAGGAACAAAAGGTATTGCTGTGGAGGGTCGAGTGGTACAGCTGTTATAGTTGTGCTGGTTGTAATTGCCGTCTGGATGGGAGGTGAGCATATATTTTATATGTAATAATATTTATCGACATTTGTGCTGTTCTGCCTACTACTTTTAATCAGACATTAAATACTGTATTTTGTATACTATTACTAAATTTGAATGTGTCATTTGGTGCAGCCTCTATGAAGAGTGACTTTTCACAGGTACACTTTTAACTCTATTTTCGACTCCTGCACAGTGCGCTATGGGCCGTCACTGTGGGCTCAGAAAGAAACGGAGACAGAAACGTGCCCCCCTTCATCAGTCGACTGTGATGGAAAGAGAGACTGTTCTCAAGGCATTGATGAATCTCGCTGTGGTCAGTGTCAATCACATATCAATAATGAAATCTCTTTTCAGTTGGAAATCATATACTGATTTGATTTGAATGTTTCTATAGTGCGGTTTGGTACAGCAAATGAATTGCAGGTCATGACTTCTAAGAACAAAAGCTTCCTTCCAGTCTGTGCACAGGGCTGGAATAAAAGCATAGCAGACCAAACCTGCCAACAGCTTGGCTTCATACAGTAAGTATAATACACACACACACACACACAAACACACAAACACATAATTATTGTGATCTGAGACAAAAGCACATATTAAACACAACTTTTAAAAGACTTTTAAATTGTATTTATTTTTTACAGTAATTTCGAGATTACTTGGTTTTGGAGGTTTTATGAAAAAAAAATATATACATAAGTCGATCGTTTTTTTTTTGGGGGGGGGGGGTTCACAAAAAAGAAAAGATAGCCATAAAACCTGTCATGGCCTTGAATCATAAGCAAACAAACAACAAACAATATTAAGAACATCTGTATGAAATGTATTCATATGTGTTTCGGTTTGTGTGCTTTACAGGAGTTATGAAGTTGGTGTCTTGAATACCAGTTCATCCGCCTTTCAAAGTTTGAACAGTCAGTTTACAAACACTATCCAGGCGAGCGTTCATACAAGGTAAAACCCAGAAATTTGCTGCTGAAAAACAGCAATAAATGAATAAATTATATATATATATATATATATATAATAAACAAATAAATAAATAATAATAATTTAACCTACACACAAAAAAAACTAAAGCAGATGAAGCTATAGCAATCAGTGGATGTGTATCTACAGTAATTCTATGTTAAATGCTAAATACATAATTCTGTGGCCTTACAAAATGCAAAAAGCATGAAGGTCTGCAGCTAAACATGACCATCATTTGGGCATAAGTAGATTATACAAAAAAAGGTAAAACAATCATACAAAGATCATACAAATTTATTTAAACTAGCCAGCAAATCAGCAAAACATTGTTACGAATTGCCACTAAATTGTGTTGTAATATACATCTGTCAGTGTAAACAGTAAACGATTAAATTCAATTTAAAACTGCAATCAAATATTGCATTTTATATTAATTTAAATATTTAAAAAAGTTCAATAAAAAAATCACTGTAGACATGGCAATGAGTATGAAAATGTATAATGATGCAGTATATTTAGATGCAGAAAGGTGTGAAGAAACACGAAAACAGAAATAACTCTTGGTCTCATTGTGTGTGTGTGTGTGTGTGTGTGTGTGTGTGTGTGTAACAATGTTGTTTTAATTGTAGTACGTCCTGTCCTGGTCAGCAGACTGTGTCCCTGAAGTGCAGCAGTGAGTACCTTACACTGTTGCTACATGTTATTGCTGCATGATAATGCTATCTAAGTCTAAACACTCTCTTACTTTCCCTCCTATTCTTTCTCTGTTTAGAGTGTGGAAAGCCACCAGGATCGAGGATCATAGGCGGAAATGTGGCTGCTGACGGTCAGTGGCCATGGCAGGCCAGTCTGCATTTCCAAGGGTCTCACTCATGTGGAGGAACTCTAGTGGCTCCAGACTTCATCATTACCGCTGCTCACTGCTTCCCCAAGTCAGTATACATTACATTAGACAGATTTGATGACTAGTCTACATGTTGGAAACAATATCATGGCCGGTAATCCTAATTAAGTTTAATGAATACATTAGCAAACAATATGCAAAAAGCATGGCTGGATGAATAGATGAATGACTTTGCTTTTTTCTCCCTTTCTTAGAGAAACACTAGGCTCACAGTTGCCTAGTAACTGGAGAGTGTATATTGGTTTGGTGTCCCAGCTCCAGCTTCCCAGCCCATATAATGTAAAGCAAATCATTTTACACAAGAATTATGACCCAGCGACAAAAAACAATGATATTGCCTTACTAAAACTCAGTAAACCTGCCAGTAAGTTTATACACTCACACATACGAATTATGAATACATAAGTACTCATGTGACGTATAATACATAACCTTTTATGCAAATCATAGCTTAACTGACATAACCTTAGCTATTAACCATACACAGCACTGTCTAAATTACAGTACCATCAATATATAAATCAAAGAGGCACTTCTGACCACTGACACGTTTTGTAAATACTGTTAAAAGGTAATATACAGCCTGTCTGCCTGCCTGTGTTTGGCCAGATGTTTCCTGCTACCAAACAGTGCTGGACCACAGGTTTCGGAGTTACCAAGCAAGGGGCTGGTATGTAATGTATATGTAGGCCAATGTATTTTGTTGAGTTTGGATGTATTGATTTATGTATTAATAACGCTGGCCTTTGCATGTGTGTTTGCAGATAGTAGTTCCACTCGTTTGATGGAGGTTGCAGTAAACCTGATAGCCTCAGCTGTGTGTAACTCACCTACTGTTTACGGCGGACATATCACTGAGAACATGCAGTGTGCAGGAGATCTTAAGGGAGAGAGAGACTCCTGTCAGGTTAGACATGTTCTCATATTCAAAAGCTTAGAAATGCTGTCACCTTTTGGTACAATATTATATTGCAGTTTGAACTTTGTACTGTCTAATATGCTTTTAGTTCATTCAGTATTATTTCTTCTTTTTCAATCTCCCTCTCTCTCCAGGGGGACAGTGGAGGTCCACTGGTGTGTAAAGTTGATGACAAATGGTATCTCACAGGCGTAACAAGCTGGGGAGATGGCTGTGGAAAGCTGAACCGTCCAGGGGTCTACAGTGACGTAGGGCAACTTTTAATGTGGATATATGGCAAGATGCAGGTAAACACACTTTTGCATTTTTACATGCAAACACACATAATATTGTTCATCATGAGTTAACATACTTATATTTCCTTTACAAACAGTCTCTTATCATTCTCTTTTTTCTATCCTTGTGTCTTTCTGGCTCCATTTCCTTAATTACAGCAAGAGCGACCATGACCTTCTACTACAACAATGAAGAACAAATCTTCACGTTCTGCTCTGCTGTGTAAACATTTTTATGTACTGATATAAGTTTTCTCATTTTTTTAAATGACGGAGCACACAGTGACATGCACTTTTGCAGTAAATATATATTTATGTAAAATTTTGAATTCATTATTTAAATAAGGAAGATGTAAATGTGTCTGTAAAATCTTTTATTTGGGGAATACTAATGTTCTTAAATAAAAACATGGATTACAGTACTGAATCTATCTTGAAGAAAATGCCAGGACATTTAAGCTGTCCAATTCTGTCTAAATGCACTTTATAGCCTATTGTGTATTATATGTACTGAGCAGATCTACTATTGAGGAGGAACTACTATTTCCTAGCAATACATGTTACATGTAAAGAGTTTCAATAATATTATAAACTGAATACAGTGGAGCAACATATTGAACTGAAGTCACTTTCACTCTGAGAGTAAAGTAATTGTTTTATTTTAGATTTTTGCTGAAAAATAAAACTGTATTACTGTTCTTGAAGACAATTTCTTTTCCATCTAAAAGGTGAAAGTTGGCGGGATATTTTAACTTATTCATAATCATTAACTTTAGAAAGAATTCCCCACTTGGTCTTTTTTTTTTACAGGCTGATAGATTTATTTTCCAACTTATTAAAGTGAGAGAGAGAGAGAAAACTCACATCTGATTGTTCTTATTTGAAAACAAGAAAAAACTACTGAAGCAATCTGTTAGATTTACGAATACACCCACATGAAACTAAAGTGATTAGTTATGTATTTGTTCTACACTTTTTTATGTGTTCTTTAGGATATGACAGATAAATTTTTAACTACCCAATGAAATAGAACTAACAGATAAATGAACAGTCTCACTGTAATTTATTAACATAATTTAAAATGTATTAACATTACAAAAAGTGTGCATTACACAATGTGTGTATATAATTTTTGTATTTTGCATCATGAGTTATTTATTTATCTTATATCAGATTATCTGGCCTTCAAAGATTAAATCTGTCTCTGGTCTGCTTGTTTCTCAGTGAGCTTTAATGACCTTGTCAGCTTATTGCAAGGGCACATTCAGCACTGCTCAATGGTTAGATATTAAGAAATGGCCCAAAGGCTTGTTTATGCGCATGTTTTAAGGTTTACTGGATAAGACGGGTCAGAGCGAAGGGTTTGAAGGTCGTTATATAAACGAAGCACACACTCTTTCTCTCCTCCCTGTAGCTCTCACTGATTTGTCATTCGCTCCACCAGTTACAATTTCACCATCAGAGAGTTTAAGGAGCTCCCTGCAAACATTCAAACTCCTCTTTGACTTACACCCTCACAGACATATATCACAGTTCTGCAATTATCAACCCTGAAAGCTTTGAGATCCTGCAACACTGCTAAAGATGGGAGTGGGTAAGTTTGATTCAACTTTATATAATGTTTTGTAGATTTACGAATACACCCACATGAAACTAAAGTGATTAGTTATGTATTTGTTCTACACTTTTTTATGTGTTCTTTAGGATATGACAGATAAATTTTTAACTACCCAATGAAATAGAACTAACAGATAAACGAACAGTCTCACTGTAATTTATTAACATAATTTAAAATGTATTAACATTACAAAAAGTGTGCATTACACAATGTGTGTATATAATTTTTGTATTTTGCTGTTATTTATTTATCTTATATCAGATTATCTGGCCTTCAAAGATTAAATCTGTCTCTGGTCTGCTTGTTTCTCAGTGAGCTTTAATGACCTTGTCAGCTTATTGCAAGGGCACATTCAGCACTGCTCAATGGTTAGATATTAAGAAATGGCCCAAAGGCTTGTTTATGCGCATGTTTTAAGGTTTACTGGATAAGACGGGTCAGAGCGAAGGGTTTGAAGGTCGTTATATAAACGAAGCACACACTCTTTCTCTCCTCCCTGTAGCTCTCACTGATTTGTCATTCGCTCCACCAGTTACAATTTCACCATCAGAGAGTTTAAGGAGCTCCCTGCAAACATTCAAACTCCTCTTTGACTTACACCCTCACAGACATATATCACAGTTCTGCAATTATCAACCCTGAAAGCTTTGAGATCCTGCAACACTGCTAAAGATGGGAGTGGGTAAGTTTGATTCAACTTTATATAATGTTTTGAAAATCAGTACTTATAAAAACTAAAAGACCTGACCGTGTAGGCACTAAACTTTTAAGTATGTCTTTAAATATATATATATATATATATCACACAAAAAAAATTTAAATGATGTCATCTTTCACTCGCCCTTATGTTGTTACACACTTGTATGACTGACTTTTTTCTGCAGAACAGGGCCTAGGCTTTGGGAGTGAAATACTTTAGCAGTTGCTTTTTTTAGGGTTCAGAACTTCACATGTGTATTTTGCTTGAAGAGTGTGCGTAGGATGTCTTTATTTTGCCATGCACATACAACCACAACCGTGCTTGATGTATATTCAAGCCATATATTTCTCAGTGTATAACAACTCAGTAGGCTACAGCAAGTACAGGGAAGTCAGAACATCAGGTTGTGTCTTGGTTTGTGTTGAAGGTAAGTCTAAACAGCTGGTAGACTCAGATATCTGAGTCGTTAGCACCCACTTGGACTGCACCTGACCCGACTGTGGATCGCCTACTTTGAGCTCTGTAGCCAGACAGAGTCTGTATTTGTGTTTTTAAGTCTACAACACCAGATATTGCATGAGGATTCACCAGCAACACATTTCCTTCGTGTGGTACTGTACCACTAAAAGTAAGCAGGAGTAATACATCGTCCAGGAATAGCTGTAGAAAACGCTAAAAGTTTAACGCAAATAACGCAAAAATGTTGTTATTTATTGTATTTGGTACAGCACTAATTAAGTGATGAATAAAGATTTTTTTAATACTGTATTATGCATTCATAACAATACAACAATGTAAATAATGTATGTGCCTTTGTTTTGCTGCAAAGTGCAAGAATTGTCAAAGTAATCTTGTTTCTATTATTTTTAAATTCTTTTTTTCAGTAAATTAAATAAATGATTACTGAATACATTCTTTAAAAAATGTTAAATATCACCCATTTAGTTGTCTAAATTACAATATGCATACAGTTAATACTGGTTTCCCACAACTGCATACAGTATGTGACAATGCCCTTAGATAACAGTTAATACACCAAAAAATTATGTGAGAATGTTTTCTTTTGTGGAATACACTAGGTGAATTTAAGAATATTCTGCCCACTCTTTTCAGTATATTGAAAGTGTATGAGGACTGGGGCCGCCAAGCTGCAAAAAAGTAACATGAAAGTAACAACGTAAAACAACTTAAATTCCGGTCTGTTTTTCAAATAATGGCTTTAAAAGACATGGAATAGCCCATCACATCAGCCACTTGTGGTGCTTTTATGGTGCTTTTTTGTCCTTTCTGAAGCTTGAAAGCTCCAGTTCACATTCATTGTAATTGGATGGAAAACAGCAATCAACTACATTATTTAAAATTTTCCCCTTTGCATTTCACGGATAAAAGACAGCCATATGGGTTTGGAATGACATATAAGTGAGAAAATGACAGAACTGTGGGTGTGCTATTGTGTTTGAAATAATACAAAGATGGTTAAAGAAAGAAATCAATAAATGCTGTTAATATTCCATTCACAAGTTCTTATTTGTTTAAATGTGCTTGCTGTTAGATCATGCTCATAAAATACTTTGAAAATGTAGGTTAACTGTTTGACCCTAACTGCTGGGGGGGGGGGGGGGGGAAATTCCCTCTTCTTTTTATAAGGGAAGAGGTAAGCCCAAGATCATACCTTACTTTGAGGCACTGAAACACCAGAGTCAACTAATTGCTTCTGCAAAGGACCGCTATGAGTGGTTAGTGAACCACATTGTGAAGAATCACAATGAAACATGGCCCAACGTTAGCCGACGAATGCAGACTTCACCTGAATACAAGGAGTATGTATTTTTAGAAGGTACGGGTAAGGCTAAAAAGCTATTTCAACAACACATTCACAGGCTAAAACAGGAACACATTGAAAGGCGTCGCAAAGCATACTTGAGCGCTCTTCCACTCGCCTTGAGTAGCTTAGTGTCCGAGTTGGATGAAATTGAGCATTTGAGTTGGTCAGGGGTCCAGAAAGTCCTCGAGTCTAAAAAAGACTTTGATCATTGGTTTGTGGTACTGGATGATGCACCATGGGAGGAAACGCCACATCTTGACAACATGGAGGATGAGCGTATCCCCTTTGATGTGCTAGACACCACGGCTGCTGAAATAATCTTTGATGCACACCTTGAACACTTGCGCAACGAATGCAAGCGTGCCCAGATGCGTCATGAGTTCAAAGCAAAATTAGCATCATCACCTTTCGTTACCCCTGGCAAACCCTGGGAGGAGGCCCGAAGCTTCATCATGAATGAAGACTTCTACCAGTGGCTTGAGGAGCCAGAATATTTGGACATTTATAACCGGCACCAGAAAGCAATCATCGACAGGGCAAAGGAGGATTTTCAGGAGCTTTTGCTGGAGTACTCTGAGCTCTTCTATGAACTTGAGGTAGATGCCAAACCTAGTAAAGAGAAGATGGGAGCAATTCAAGAAGTGTTAGGTGAAGAACAACGCTTCAAAACCCTTCAGAAATTACAAGCCGAAAGGGATGCTTTAGTGCTGAAACACATCCATTTTGTGTATCACCCTACGAAGGAAACATGTCCGAACTGCCCACACTGTGTTGACAACAAAATTGAGCAAATACTAGCTTTGTGCTTCCCTGCACAATACCCTTCCTTTGGAAAGTCCAATATGTTTGATGGAAAGGTAGATAGGATCAATCTTGTTATACTGGGCAAAGATGGTCTTGCCAGAGAATTAGCCAATGAGATTCGGGCATTGTGTACCAATGACGATCATTATATGCTTGAAGGTAGAATGTATGAGCTTGTCCTTCGGCCCATTGAGGGTAATGTTAGACTTCCTGTCAATTCATTTCATACATCCACATTTACTCCCCATGGATGCCTGTGTTTGTACAATTCAAAAGAGTCCTTATCATACATTGTTGAAAGTATTGAGAAGTTGCGAGAGTCCACACTTGGCAGAAGGGAAAACCATATGGCTCAGCTTCCCCTGTCACTCTTACTAGTAACCAAAAGAGGTGTTGGAGGACTGGGTGACATTGGTGGTGAGACTGCTCAAGCATTAATCTCACAGGGTCAGCAGGCAGCCATAAAACTGCAGTGTAACTACCTGGAACCTGCCTCCCCAGGCACTGGCTATGGGCGAAATGTAAATGAAAAGCAGATCAATCAGGTCTTGAAGGTTCTACTTGAAACAAGGAGGACATCTACATTTCGTAGCTATTCTCCACCTGCACCTCCACTGCCTCCATGTATTCGAGAATTACAGCAGGATCAGAGTCCAGAGGCTGAATTACGTATTGTCATGTGCCTAATGTGTGGAGACTCCTATGACATTGATCAACTCCTTGCACCATTCCTGCTTCCTCAGCATTGCAGGCCGACCTCTCCTCAGACAAGTGGCACTTCAGTGCTGCTAGAACAAACAATTGGTGGTCACAAGCATACAATTGAACTGTCTCTAATGTCATACCACGCTTGTTTTGCCACTCGTAAGAGTCGGCTGGTGCATGGCTACATTGCTTTATACTCTGCTAGCCGCAAGGCTTCTTTTGAAACCCTGTGTGCCTTTTTGTGTGAGGTTCAGGACATTGTCCCAGTTCAGCTGCTTGCAGTGGGGGAAACCCGGACTGAGCTTCTGGACTCTGAGTCTGCTCATGAGTTGCTAGTCCAAGGTGAAGAACTGGCCCGTGAACTTGATGGACGGTTTTGCAGTATTGTCTGTGGCACTGGAGGAGTTGTTGGAGGACTACACAAACTAGACCTTTTGGAACAATTTTTCACAGAGGTATTAGAAAAGAGAACTATTGTTGAGGCCAGTCATATGTATGAAAACATTGCAGAAGCCAGTAGCACAAATGAGAATGTGTATTCGCCACACTGTGGCTCCTCAAGCCCTGTAACCATGCTGTTAGATTCTGAGGAAGACATGGAAGCTTCCCCGCCTTACGTTGCAGAAGCCAGTAGCACAAATGAGAATGTGTATTCGCCACACTGTGGCTCCTCAAGCCCTGTAACAATGCTGTTAGATTCTGAGGAAGACATGGAAGCTTCCCCGCCTTACCATGATGGCACACTCACCTCTCACGGTAAATTCAAATTGCCTGACCTGGACTCAGGTGACACATTCTCTGTGATCTCTGACCTTAGCACCTTTGAGAACAAGCTAAATAATAAAGTTCCTCCACAAGTAAGACCCAAACCTAGTGTCACATTTGACCTTAGAAAACCAAATTTTAATCCGTATGTGGATGCAGTCAGCCATCGCCGTTCCCTTACATCCAATGTGACGTGGCCTCTAGGAGGAGATTATGATCCTTCGGACTACGCTGAGCCAATGGATGCTGTCTCTAAACCCCGCCCCAGCTATGAGGACAGCATATATTCTGTGCCACATGACAGCACACAGGGTAAAATTATTACCATCCGCAATTCCAATCGGATCCACTCTAATGGAGGAGGCAATGGTTCAGACAGTGAAGGGGATGGCAGTTCATTGGAGAGACGTCGCAAGTTCTCCCCTGCACGAGTGAAGCCACGTCTCTACCGTGATCGTTCCAAACGTCTGGGGAAGTTCAGCAGTTTCCGCACTAGTTTTTCCATTGGTAGCGATGATGAGATTGGCACGCTCTCAAGGTCAAAAGATGATGATGTTTCAGGACTAAAGGCAGACGTACTCAATGAAGAAGGAGAAGATCCCAAAAAAAGGAACATACTGAAAAGTCTTCGCAGACCAGGCAAAGTAAGATTGATTTATTTACTAATTTTACATGGCTTTTAAAACATATGCTCGTCTGTTTTTAACATTGTAATATTTAATTGAATTGCTGTTATTGGAGGCTTCATTAAGGAGTCAAAACTAGTGGTCGACTGATATGGGTTTTTTGACAGCCAATGCCGATATCTTGGAAAGCAGGGTGGCCAATGGCTGATATAATTTTATTTGTTTTAATTAATATTTAAGAAATTTGAAAATGGATTAAAAATAATTGTGTAGAATAAACATACTTATACTTTAGAAGACAAAGTATTTTTCACAAATAAATATTTAATAAATATCTAATTGAAAAGGAATTAACCATCAGGGCCAGGGTGCGAACTACGGGGGAGCTCGGCTCCCCTTAATAAGACATGGGCTCCCCTGAAAACGTGATTTGTGAAATTTTGGGGGTTCTCCAAAAATATTGACTGTGTTATTTTGACGTGCAATTTCAGTTTTGTGTAATGTTATCATCGTGGATTATTATGTGTAAAATTGCAAAAATATCATTCATTCATGCATGACGGCGATTTAAACTTAATTCACTTCAATAAAGATAACTATTCATGCTATTCTTGTCATGAGCATCAAGGTGTGGGGGTGCTGCGGTGCAAATTCCACTCATGTTTAGTACATGTTAAAGGAGTCCTATTATGCTCTTTTACAAAGTCTTGATTTTGTTTTGGGGGTGTACTAGAACATGCTCTCATGCTTGGTGGTTCGAAAAACGCATTATTTTTCACATAATTTTGTACAAACGGCTCGATTAGTTCCGGGTTTGATGAAGGTCCGCGTTCTGAAAAACAAAATGTGATGTGATTGGTTAGCTGTCCCAGTGCGTTGTGATTGGTGAACAGCTTAGACGGTGTTTCAGTACTGCCCCGCCCCCTTGCTCCGTCTTTCAACAAAAGCTTTTGGCGAATCCGGCACTTCTCACTCGTGATGTGGAAGCTGTCCTCAGTAAAATGCGCAGCACACAATAGCAAATTGGGGTTATAATGCTCAGGAACAGAGTTAAAAAGTAAATTGCAACCACTGTTTCCTGACATCATCCGCTTTCGGAAGTGAAAAAAAAAACTGCATGTTTTGCACGTCTCTTTTTGTCAACACACCTGATTCAGATCATCATCTCGTTAGAAGTGAGCTCCGTGCATGAACTGTGTTCCGATTGACATGGTCCCTACACAAGGTCCATTGCTCCCTACTCCCAGAGCAGGGGAAATCCGTTGAAGTTTACTTCACTTCGGAATATTCATTTA